GTGCAGTGGCTACAAATTGGTCTGCAAACTGCAAGGTCAGCAGTTCGAAACTACTAGCTGTTCCATGGGAGAAAGATGAGGCTTTCTGCTCCCGTAAAGATTTACAGCCTCGGAACCCCTGTACAGGGTTGCTATGAGTCGGAACTGACTCCACGGCACATTACAACAACAACAACATGCCTGTGAGTCACCTGCTGTGTAAGATGGGGATGTAGAGGAAGGAATTCAGGGCCGCCATTGTACTCATGCCCTGCACGAGTAAGCACTCATCTGATGGAACACCACTGTGTGCCAGGCCTTATCCTAGGTACATGTCCAAGAACACCATCTCAACTCTCAGAAGAGGAGTCTCATCATAAGCAAAGGTGACTGGTGGAAGGAGGACAATAAAGGCAGAGAAGAGGACGGAGTGGTAATGATAACCAGTCAGGGGACCTTCGGAGCAGGTGACTCTCAATAGGACCTAAAGCATGAGCGAGTGAGCGTGTCAGCATGGCAGTAAGCTAGAGGCCCCGAGAAAGCTGAGCCTGACCAGGAGGAGACCCCGGAAAGCCATCCTGCCATTTGGGCACTCCAAAACAGAGGCTCAGACAGTTGGGAGGCTGAAGAGGAGTGAGTAGATACACCATTTCAAAGTCTTCCCATAGAACAAGGAAGAACGGTCCTGTAAGGTTTTTAAGGCTATAATCTTTACCCAAAGGAGCTCTGTGGTTACAAAAAGGAGCATAATGGTTACAAATTGGGCTGCTAGCCTCAGAGTCAGCAGTTCAAACCTACCAGTGGTTCTGTGGGAGAAAGATGAGGCTTTTTCTGCTCCTGTAAAGATTTACAGCCTCAGAAATCTGCAGGGCTGAGAGGAGGTGGTGGGTGGAGCAACATGAGCAGGAAGAGAATCTACCAGCCACTGCTCCCCACTGGACCAATAAACAACATCCATATCAATGGAGAAAAGATTGAAGTTGTCAAGGACTTCATTTTGCTTGGGTCAACCACCAACACTCATGGAAGCAGCAGTCAAGAAATCAAACAACGTATTGCATTAGGCAAATCTGCTGCACAGAGCCACATGAACTGGGGGAGAACCGCCAGAGGGGCTGTCTGGTCAGCGGAGGCTGAGACTCCTAACAGCAAAGGTGTTGGGTTATTCAAGTGAAGTGGGAAGCTGTAACAGAAGAATGACACAGACTGACTTGTTGCTGTTAAATGCCGTGGAGTCAGTTCCGACCCATAGTGACCCTGTATAGGGTTTCCAAGGAGCGGCTGGTGAGCTTGAACTACTAACCCTCGTCCACACTGCTGGGGAACCACTGCCCTGCTCTGTGCCTCTGTGAACAGGTATCAGCGTCTCCTGCTTGAGATGCTAGGAGGAGAATCAGTTATATGTGTAGCCCTTTGCCAGGGGACAGTGTCAGCAGCACAGACAGAGCCCTGTGTGGTTCTCATCAGGACTGGGGATGCTGGGAGTACATGGTGCTGAGCATACAGGTTCTGGAGTCTTCTTGCCTGGGCTCGACCCAGACTGGTCACTTCCAAGTCTACTTAACGTCTCTGTGCCCAGTTTTCTCAACTGGAAAATGAAGATAATGAAAGTGATTCGCGCACAGAGTCAAACTGAAGATCCAGGGCATTTTACATGAACAGAACTCAGAATAGTTTCGTGCCCAAAAAGCCCCTGAGAAATGCTACCTATCATTAATATTACTGCAGCAGGAATGAAGCGAATTAAACTGGAGACACAGAAATAGCTGGAACAACAGCAAGGTGGGTTGTCTTCAAAGTGTAACATACCGTGACCAGGGACTTCGTGACGTCTTCTGAGCAGAAGGCTGGTACTCTGAGCTAGGGGCTGACGTGGGCTGCAGGCCAGGTCTGATTGTTGGTGAGGGTGGTGAGCACAAGCCCAGTCATACCATGGTAACTTGCCTAAAACAGGAACCCAAGAATGGCCTTGGTATGACCGTTTTAAGAAGCAATAATTTTAAAAGTCATTGACAGCTGACTTGGGCTCTAGAAGATTCTACTTGGACATCAACCCCCAGCCAAATGGGAGGAAGAGTTGTTGTCCAAAGTGTCCAGATTTGAGGAGAGGAAGGACAGCAGCTTGTTCTAGGCCAAGGCCAAGGGTAGTGCCCAGCACTGGTTCATTCATTCAAAGGAGAAGAAGGAATTTCATCAAGTCAAGGGCTTGCTGCTGCCCACTGAAACCTGGCTCATCTCAGTCACAGTACTCCTGTGGTAGTTCTTGGGAACCTGGACAGTATGGGCACCTACCTAAGGCTAAAGCAGTTCAGCACTGGCACCTACCTAGCATTTTCCTATCTTATGTGATTTTGAAACTTACATTTTCAAGTAATAACAAATTTAAGTAAACAATGAGAAATCCCTACCTGAGGGCCAGCCACAGGGCTGGAGGTGCCAAGCATTCTGGGCAGAGGGTATTGAGCTGGGGTGAAGGTAGGGGAGGGGAACCTTTTGTATCTATCTACTTACTTATCTATCTAAGGAGCTTTGGTAGCGTAGTGGTTACAAATTGGGATGCTAACCTCAAAATCAGCAGTTCGAAACTACCAGTGGTTCAGTGGGAGAAAAATGAGGCTTTCTGCTCCCGTAAAGATTTACAGCCTCAGAAACCCTGTGCAAGGTCGCTATGAGTCGTAACTGACTGCAAGGTACACCACCACTTAACTATCTAGCCCATGATTCTATAAACCCTATTGCTTCATTGAAATCCTCTGCCTTGCTCTGAGCTCTTCCAGGAGGCAGGTACTTTTTTGTTTATTCATTTGGTGAAGAACCAGCAGGGGAAGAAAGCACACAGAGTGCTTAGAAAATGCTTCTGGGTGGTTCAGAAGGACTGATGTTCAAAGTGACACCAATAGGCTCTAAAGGGCAAAACTGAGGGCCCACCTGCCAATAGGAACAGGCTGAGCCTCTGTCTCCCGTGTTCACAAGAGGTTCATCCCTTCCAGCAGCCCTGAAGGTCTCCCTTCCTAACCCGCCTTGCCTCCTCCGGAAACAGTCCCAGAAGCATGGCTTCCGATCCCCACACATCTGGTCAAGCCTAACTAGCAGGGTGTTAGTTTAAACATTATTTTAAACATTAAATTCAGCGCAGCCTTGACCTAATCACCTCCTACATTCCCATCTGCTGGCATCCTGCTTACTTCAGTCCCATCCTCTGAAATGTCAAGCCAGTGGAGAAAGGTGAGAACCAGGGAGAGCCAGAGAGAGGTGCTGGGATGTTCACGTACACCACACTGCACACTTGGAGATGGGGTGTTGTTGTTATTGTTGTTGCTGTTAGGTGCCATCAACTTGGTACTGACTTATAGCGACCCTATGCACAACAGAACAAAATACTGCCTGGTCCTAAGCCAACCTCACAATCATTGCTACATTTGAGCACACTGCTGCTGCCATTTTGCCAATCCATCTAATTTGGGGCCTTCCTCTTTTTCTCCGACATTCCACTTTACCAAACATGATATCTTTCTGCAGTGACTGGTCCCTCCTGATATGTCTGAAGTATGAGAGATGAAGTTTGGCCATCCTGGCTTCCAAGAAGCATTTTGACTGTACTTCTTCCAACACAAATCTATTTGTTCTTTTGACAGACCATGATACTTTCAATATTCTCCTCCAATACCAATATGTATAACTCAAATGCATCAATCCCACTACAGTCTTCTTTATTCACTGTCCAACTTTCACAATCATAAGAGTTGATTGAAAATACCATGGCTTGGGTCAGGTGCACCTTAGTCCTCAAACTGACATCTTTGCTCTTCAATACTTTAAAGAGGTCTTGTGCAGCAGGTTTGCTTAGTGCAATACATCATTTGATTTCTGGACTGCTGCATCCATGAGTGTTAATGGTTGATCCAAGAAGAATGAAGTCCTTGACAACACCAATCTTATCTCCACTTATATGGGTACTGTTTATTGGCCCAGTGGTGAGGAATTTTGTTTATTTACATTGAGGTGCAACCCATACCAAAGGCTGTGATCTCTGATCTTCATCAGTAAGTATTTTAAGTCCTCTTCACTTTCAGCAAGCAAGGTTGTATCTTGTGCATATCACAGGTTTTAAATGAATCTTCCTCCAATCCTGATGCCACATCTTTCTTTATTTAATCCGGCTTCTCAGTGTTTGCTTAGCTTACAGATTGAATAAGTATGGTGAAAGAATACAGCCCTGGCGCACACCTTTTCTGATTTTAAACCATTTGGTGCTCTCTTGTTTTGTTTGAGCAACAGCATCTTGGCCTATGTACAGGTTCCTCATGAGCACTGTTAAGTGTTCCAGAATACTCATACTTGGCAATGTTGTCCATAGCTGGCATAAACCACACAATCAAAAGCCTTTGTGTAGTCAATAAAGCACAGATAAACATCTTTCTTGTAGTCTCTGCTTTCAGCCAAGATCCATCTAACGTCAGGAATGGTATCCCCCAGTCCACATCGTCTTCTGAATCTGGCTTGAACCTCTGGAAGTTGTCACTGTATGGTGGCAGCCATGTGTGTATCGTACTGTCTTTAATACAAGACGGGGTGGGAAGGAACAAATTGTGGTGCTCATCAACAGCTATCACAGATCCAGGCACAGGCACACAAGTGGTTCCGCAGCTGAACCAGTTGCCTTGGAGTCAATTCTAACTCATGGGGACCCTGTGTATGTCAGAGTAGAATTGAGCCCCACAGAGTTCTCAATGGCTGAGTTATCAGAAGTAGATCAACAAACCTTTCTTCCCAGGTATTTAGGTAGTAGTTGAGTGTGTTAGAATTAAGTGTTTGTACCACCCAGAGACTCCCAATCTAATAGGCAGGTGGATAAATGATCACAGTTGAATCTGACATAGGTTTCTCCAGAGAGCAGGTGCACCTCAGGCATCCTCTGGCCTACTCAGAGCTCTCAGAGGCTACGGTGATAACCTGATCTAGGTGTTGGTCCCCATGACCTCATGAGCCTCTATGAGCACCCATGCTTTGTCGGCACTCACCTGTCCTGGGGGTCCCACCATGGTGCCCATCCTTCCTGGGTGGCTCTGTGCTGCTCTCCTGGCTCTCCCCACTTGTGGCCTGGCCTGTGGATGCTGTCCCTCCTCTGTCCAGGTCTTCGATGTTGCCACCACTGTGCTGGCCCACATGGCAGTCCTTCCGCATTCTGCAAGTGAGAGATACACTTCAAGGATTCTTGCAAACATTTCTAATGCTGTTTACATGCTGTCAAAATCAGTATGTGGCCCTGCCCTGCAGCTGAACAGCATCCCTGGGCTGTGGGAGGGAAGAGAAGCTTTTGTTCCTCAGAACTTACAAAGGAATAAAAGGCACAGGGATGAATCTGTTTCAGCACCAACTTCCCACCAGACCCTTTGATTCTGTGGCCTGAGAAGGAGTGCAATCATATTTGGGGAAAATGCCTTAGAATGCATTCCAAGTAACCAGAGCTTTATCCCTGAAACTAGCTGAACAGACACAGTGGCATGAAAACTGTATGCTGATGGAGTTCAGGCCTGACTCTCTGTAATGACTGTCCAGCGTTCATTCCCAAAGACCTCATCCTTTAATTCTATAAGGATTCGTGCTAGATTTTTCACTGTGTATGTGGAGAAATATATGCTCATCCATCTAAGGTTTCCCATTGGTTCATAATCTGAGACTGTTGAAACCAATGGTCTACTGGATGCCACTTGGAGATAGCAGGTTAATTACACGAGAAAACAATGATCACCAGTGAAATTCCAATCAGAAGTGTAAGAACTCTCCCCAGCCCATCTCCACACCCAGCCACAGCACCTAGATAAAGGCCTACCTTAACCACCTGGTTCGGAACCACGTCCAAATTCGGTTCAAGCTGACAGGCCCACCCCAGACATCCTTCAGCTGCCTGTGTGTCCCGAGATAGGACGTAGTGAGCGGGGAAACATACATGGGGTATCCCAGGGGCTGGTCGCAGGAGGAGTTGATCAGATTCCGTAGGACCTGCTTGTTGTTCTGGATGCTACCACGCTCTGGGTTGCGATTTCGAAGAAATATGAGCTCTTGCTGCTGCCCAGCCCAGAGTCCTCGGACACATTCTTTATTGACCTGCAGGACAGGTAAGAAACATGATAATCCATGTCTCCAGTCTGCCTGCTGTCCCCTGCTGTGAGTGAGTGGGAAGAGCTCTGGACTAAACCTCTGTGACCTAAAATTATGACCTAAAACTCTTTCCGTAGTCAAGCTAGAGTGGCAGCTCTAGGAAATGGTGTGATGCCACTTTTAAGTGGGGAACTTGAAAGCCAATGGAAAGAAAGTGTTTGCTGGTAGCCTAGTGGTTCAAAGATCTAGGAACACAGAATAATTGGCGATGTGACCCTGGGTCTGGGAGTGGGTGATGAGAGTAAGGTGTGGAGCTCAGATTAAACTGGATGCTGACCCTCATCTAATGGGTTTCTGCCAGGATTTGTCAAAGTCCTTGCCTTCATTTTGATTCACTGGGTGAGAAATGGTCCTGGCAGAAAAGTCTCACACTGAACGTGGCTCCGTGCCCTGACTCTGTTTGCTGGCCAGCGCTACCCTGGGAACTATCTCTCTGGACAGATTTGATGGCACAGGGCCTCACACTCGGTTGCTTCTCAAATACACAGGAGAGGTAGGAGATGTACCTTGATGACCCTGAAGCTCAGGAAGCTTTTGTGCAGCATGATGACCTTGTACTCGTCAGTCCCCTCGTCCACCACGTGCCGCAGGGTGAGGAGATCCTCCCTGTTGGACAGCACCGCGCTCCTCCAGGCCGGGTCACCCTCATGACAGATCACCACTGTCCTCTCAAAGGACTGGATGGTCTCATAGAGGAACACTGGGTCTTCATACTCATCAGGGCAGGTGAACTGGTCCTGGTGAACACATGGAGTCTGCTGTGGGCTCGATAAGGATCGAGAAAGGCTGACCCCCAGCAGTCTACAAGGAGGCCTCCAAAGTCAAGTCCACTTTCACACACCTACTCTCACTCCTGTTTGCTTCTCAGTCCTGGGCTGTGTGCTAAGGAAAATGCTTCGCTTTGTGGCTAATGTTGCCTGTGATGTTTATATACTTTTCTATATATAGACATATATAGTTTATGTGCTTTTCTCTGTCCAACATGCCTCTTCCTTCCTTGTGGAGGGATAGTCCCCTTCTAGCAGCACTTAAATGGAATATTGACACTTTCTAGGAGTTACTGGGTGGTCTAATTAACATGTTCAGCTGCTTATTGAAAGGGTGGGAGATTGAGTTCAGCCAGAGGTGCCTCAGAGGAAAGTCCTGGTCATCTACTCCTAAAAAATTAGCCATTGAAAACTTTATGGAGCAAGAACACCCAAACTTGCAGATAGTACCCTTTTGACCTATCCTTAATGGCTTGATCATCAGAACTCAGCTAGAGGAAGATTTAAAACAAACAAACAAATAAATAATTTTTGATAAAGGAAATGAGGGTAAATTGCTACAATTTGATGAACTTGACCTATACTCATGGATGTAGGAGCTCAAAATACCAACAGAGAGGGAAGGAGTCTTCACATCAAGTATCATTGCTATTCCCTCTGTACACAGGGTAGATAGGGATGGGCAACTTAGACATTGGCTACATAAAATGAGGGGGTGATAAAGGCATGAAGTGACTGGCTTGCAAGTTTTCAAGAGGGAATGTAGTTTAAAGGTGTGTGGGAGAAAACAGTGTCCCCACTGAATAGTTTTCATCTTGTCTAGATGGGTCTGGTGAAAGGAAATGGTGATAAGATTCTTATGATTCAATAGTGAGTAATTGTTATCATGACTAATTGCGACTGTCACAATTGTAAAGGTAGAAGTTTTGTAACAAACATGGGGGAGTAGCTAATCTTACAGTCCAGAAACAGAGGACCCTAGGACCATCAAGGGAGAAGAGCACAAGTGGAATGCGAGACCTTATCCAGAGAAGTAGTGACACCAGAGACGGAGGCAGAGATGGGGACGTGAAGAGAGGGAGCAGCTGAGGACTCTAGATTCATGGAAAGAGAGGGACTGAGAGCTGGTGGCCAGGAGGTAGGCTTGCAGAATGTACCCTTTGGTGGTTTAAATTATTATACATGCCTGAGTGTTTTAAAAAAAAAAAAAAGAGCTAAAATGAATAGAGAGAAATACTGTTAACTGATGGTACATAGACAGGACTATAATCATTGTAATGAAACAAAGTATATGAATTGTTGAATGTAAAACTGATTATCTGCCCTGTAAACTTTCACTCAATTCACAATAAAAACTTACAGGGAAAAAAACCACAAACAACTTTATGGAGCACAGTTCTCCTCTGACACATTTAGGGTCACTATGCTCAAAGTTGACTCAGTGGCAAATATAAAAACAGTTCTTAAGGTAAAGTATCAATGGCCTATGGCAAGAAGAGCCAGATGACCTCAATGGTTAGTTTCCTTGGTAATAAACTCATTCACAAATCTCATTAAAAAAAAAGGTGACCACATTTCAAAGGGCATTTTCTCTCCATTGAAAAGTCTCCATAGACTTCATTTTTAAAGGACTTTTACCTGGTGAAGCTTCAGTGACATTCTGATAGCTGGAGCAACAACTTTGTGCAGAAGGTCCATGTCCGCAAACACCCACTCGTCTCGTGTTGTTACCCTAAAATCACCTTTGAAGAGGGTGTGAAGACCGTACAGGAAGGAGTCCAGGCTGTGAGACAAAACCTACGTTACTGCTGACTCAGGTTGGGAGATGCCCAGAAGCCTGCCATTTTGAGCAATGCTCTAGTCTTTCATTTGTCCATTTCAAGAAGTATATTAGCAGCTTTAGGGTCATCCCATAGGGAAAGGAAGATGACAATGGACTAACCTCTTCTACCAAATGCCTGGTCCTATGGACCTCATTCCTGTCCTGATAACATGTTCTGATGTCATGAGGTGGAAGTCTTTCTCAAAATGTGTCAATGCTGTGGAAATATTAGTTCTTTGAATGCAGTGCTGGTCAGAACTGGATTAACATGTGCACACTCAAATCCATGCTGCTAGTCCTGGTGTGGCGCTGTGAGATAATGCACTGGGCTGATGCAAGGTTGGTTTGAACCATAGGTCAGTAGTTCAAACTCACCAGCTGTTCCTTGGAAAACTTACACAGGGTTGCTATGAGTCGATGGCACTTAAAAACAACAACCACAGTTCAATAATACCACCAGCTTCTGATTAGGAGAAAATGATCAACGCTGTCGAGCAATCCAGGTGACTTTATTTCTCTTCTTTGCATTTCTGTCTACCATTTTTTGGGCTGTTACTCATAATAAAAATTCGAGTCCACTACAAAATGGTGAGAGGAAGTTAAACCAAGTGAAACCTCAGAGTGGTCTTTTAGATTCTCAGAAAATATTCATTTTTCAATCTCACCCTTTTTTAATGGATGGAGGAAGAGGAACAGTACTAGGGTTACAACAAATGACCACGAGATCTTTTGGGATTATCTGAGTTTTATGTTTCTAGATTTTTCTTGCTTTGCTTCTGTATCCTACAGGTAATTGACTTTGTCCTGAGAGGGAATGCAGATATCACTCCAAGAAGAACATGGGCTGGGGTTGAGAAAACGACACACCCTGCCTTCTGGGTAGCTTCTTTCCCTCTGTTTCCATGAATAATATCCAAAGAAGGTACCACCTCTAACCACACTGGCCACGAACATCCCTGAGAAATAGTTATGAAGCCAGTACAAGAATTAGCATCCCTGACTGGGCTGCCCTGGGCGCAAAGCAGATTGAACGTTTGTATGAAAAGAGAGTCCTTGGAATGCCTTGGCTCGAAAGGCTTCCATGACTTGGCTCAATGAACAAGACTTCGATTCAACATAGCATATTTGACTCACACATCAGGGAAATTGTCCCACTGATTGCTAGCCCAGCATTTAGCTGTGAAACGCACCGCCATCATTAATTTATTTCCAAAACTCTCTGGAGAAGGCCGTGAAGGTTTGGCATCAGGGATGACAGTGGGAACCATAGCAGCTGGCTCTGGTGGGGCTCTGGGTGCTGCTTGGGGCCCTAGGACCAGGAGATAGGCTTCCCTCACAGAACAGAGCTTCCGAGGTATAAGCTTCAGCATTTGCAAATGGAGTGCCAAAAGGAGCATTTAAACTACAACAGAATCAGTCTGGGGTAGGGCTAATGCTTACAGATGGAGCCTTAAACCATGATAATGAATACTCTTTGCTATCCACTGAGAACACTTGAAAACACCCCTTCTGTGTATTTGATGATGTGACCTTATGTGGAAGAACTCATCCTAAAAAGTGGGTGGGATTTATTCTGGGAAGGATTAGGACTGTTAATTGCTCAGAATGGCTTTGTACACGTGTAAGAGGGAAACAACACCAACAACTCTTCCAGTTGTGGGAATAATTAGTTAACCAGCCCTCAAGACAACACCAATTCATGGAGACTCTACGTGTGTCAGAGTACAATACACCACAGGCTTCTCAATGGCTGATTTTTCAGAAGTAAATTTAGAAGGATTGCCAAGTCTTTCTTTTGAGGTGCCTCTGGGTGGATTTGAATCTCCAGTCCTTTAGTCAGCAGCAGAGCATGCTAACTGCACCACTAGGGACTCGATGTGACCATGGGGACAGACGTAAACCATGGCTAAGGGATCTGCCAGTAATACTCAAAGTAACAGGCACAGATCAAGAGAAGAGCAAGGCATTACAGGTGTTAGGCTGACTGTGTTCCCAGCTGCATATTTGCAAGTTCCACACAGACTTGTAACAAGTTCAACAACAACCAGTAGGAAAAAGTAAAATGTCACAGGTCATTGTTGTTGTTGTTATTAAGTGCCATTGAGTCAGTCCTGACTCAGAGACCCTGTATTGGGTTTCTCAGGAGCAGCTGGTGAGATGGAACTGCTGACCTTGAACGTATCCTATGGCCTACTCCCATTCCAAGTCCCCAACAATAAATGTTTTGCGTGAGGCTTCTATTTTCAGGGGAAATGCCCCATTGTGGTTTTCAGCGTTGATTTATTAAATGATTCTCAGTGTAGAGAACAAAGACCGAACTAGAATTCCACTTGTTTTCCCAAGCACCTTAAAGATCATGGCATGCTAACAGTAAGGTGTTTCATTACCTGCCTTTTCTTTCCCTCAGGAGAACAAACTGAACCATTTAAATTGTTTCATAAGGAAGACAAGGAGATGTGACAAGATAGGAATGTGGGCAAGCAGGGGCCTCTGGGCACCTGCAGCCTCCAACTTGGATTCCTTAGGGATTTGTCTTTTAAGACTCTACTGAGAACTGACAGACATCCACCCTCAGGTCCGAGGAAGTTTTTTTTTTGTTGTTTTGCTAGAAAAGTAGCATTACATCTGAATCCACTGAGGTTGGCCTTCATGTAGACAGAAACGGCCACCACTAGATCCTGCAGGCTGCCATTTCCTCCCCATCCAATGCCAAGGAAGTTGGGGAACCAACAGAATTTGTCAGCAGTGTGGGATCAAATGTGTGGGATGATGTGGGCGTGGAGGGCAGGGCAGGCAGCACCAGAACAAACGTGACCCACGTGTGCAAGAAAAGACCAAAAGACAGAGGCACAGAGATGAGCACATGCTCACAGGACCCGACATTAGTGCCTATGTGTGAATAAAAGGAAATTCCTTAATGTACTAGTGAATGATGATGAATGATGATGATGTTACTGTTGTTAGGCGTCATTGAGTTGGTTCCCACTCTTAGTGACTCTATGTACTACAGAAGGAAACACTGCCCGGTTCTGCACCGTCCCTCCTCACAATCTTAGCTGTGATATAGTCCACTGCTGGAGCCACTGTGTCAATCCAGCTCAGTGAGTGCCTTCCTCTTTTCTGCTCTTTTACCAAGCATGATGTTGTCTAGGGACTAGTCTCTCCTGGTAACATGTACAGACTACAGGAAATGATGTCTTGCCATCCTAAGTCTACCTAATCTAAGGAACATTCTGGCTGCATTTCTTCCAAGACAGATTTGTTCATTTTTCTGGCATTTCATGTTATATTCAATATCTTTTTTGGCCAACATCATAATTGAAAGGCATCAACTCTGGTCTTTCTTCTCTATTGTCCATTTTTCGCATCATACCATGGTTTGAGGCAGGTGCACCTTAGTCCTCAGACTAACACTTTTAACACCTGAAAGTGGTCTTTTGCAGCAGATTTGCTCATCTAATACTTGAGTGCATCTTCTTTTGATTGTAAAAAGTTGATGTGCATCGCTTGTTATTGTTGTTAGGTGCCATCAAGTCAGTACTGACTCATAGTGACTCTATGCACAACAGAATGAAACACTGCCCAGTACTGCGCCAACCTCATAATTGGTGCCACGCTTGAGCCCACTGATGCTGCCACTTTGCCAATCTATCTCGTTGGAGGTCTTCCTTTTTTCATCTGACCCTCCACCTTACCAGACATGATATCCTTCTCCAGTGACTGGTCCTTCCTGACAATACGTCTGAAGTATGAGAGACAAAAGTTTGGCCATCCTGGCCTCCAAGGAGCACTCTGGCTGCACTTCATCCAACACAGATCTGTTGTTTTTGGCAGTCCATGGCACTTTCAATATTCTTCTCCAACACCATACCTCAAAGCATCAGTTCTTCTATGATCTTCCTTATTCACTGTCCAGCTTTCGCATGCATATGAGGTTATTGAAAATACCATGGTTTGGGTCAGGCACACCTTAGTCTTCAAGCTGACATTTTGTGTGGCAGATTTTGCTTAACGTCCTTTGATTTCTTGGCTGCTGCTTCCATGAATGTTGATGGTTGATCTTTGCTCTTCAACACTTTTAAAAGGTCTTGTGCAGCAAATTTGCCCCTTCCCATTGAATCTATAAAAAGGAACCACACTGACTATTCTTCCTTGTCAGTCTGGCATACTTTTTCAGGAATCAATCCTTGTTCTGTAGAGTCATAACTTAAATAACTTGCCACAGGACAAAGCTCCATTAGACTGTGTATGTATGAGTGTGTGAGAGTATGTGAGTGTGAGTGTTGTAACGAAGGCTAGAGACCCCGATTGACTTCTTGCTGTCGTTCTGGTTCCAGACCCAGCTTCATGTTAAGAAATGGTGTAGCTGATGGTGGTACCTATAGGTGAGGGGTTGGGGTGATCCATATTTAAGCACAATTGTTTAGAACCTTTAGAATGGCTGTTCTCTCTTGAGACTGGGGTTGTGGCTCACAGAGTCAATCACTGGCACTATACCAGCTCACAGCTTGCCGAATGCTTTTGCCTTAATGCACCTGGCTGTTCACAGCAATAACACGTTGTTGTTGTTGTTGTTGTTGTTAAGTGCCGTCAAGTCGGTTCCGACCCATAGCGACCCTGTACAGGGTTTCCGAGGATGTTAATCCTTACGGGAGTAGAAAGCCTCATCTTTCTCCCGCGGAGCGGCTGGTAGTTTTGAACCGCTGACCTTAAGGTTCGCAGCCCGATTCGTAACCACTACGCTACCACGTTGGGGATGGTTATTTCCACTCTCTCATATCTCAATGTTCTTTACACAAGGAGGAGTCCCTGATGCTCTCTTCTACCCACATGTTGCTCATGCCCTCTCTTTCCCACTTTTGTTCAGAATCATTGACCAGATCAGCCAATTTGTCACTCTACTCTCCATCCCAGTGGTTCTCAAACAGTGGTGATTTTGCCTCCATGGGACATTTGGCAAT